GTAACCCATCAGGGCCGGCTGACTTGAAGGTATCCAGCCTGTCAAGGTGTTCCTTCACGAGGTCAGCTTCGATGGAGAGCAAGGAATCTCCCTCACCCAGGCCTCCCTGACCCACAGTGGGCAGGGGCATCCCATGGAACTGGTGAAAAACTGACACAAAGTACCCATTTAGCAAGTTAGCTTTTTCCTGGGCGTCAGTTGTCAGTTGCCCCATCTCTTCCCCCTCCCCTTCCGACTTACCAGCTGGAGGCAGCTCTCCATGCTGCCAGCTCTGCTCCATGTTGTACTGCAGCTGTGCACAGCACAGGCATTTATAGGCCAAATTATGGGCCCCATCAGGCCAGTATCCGATATAGACAATTTTCTTTTTATCGGTACCAACCCAATATTGGACTGATGTATTGGTGCACCTCTAGTTTAATACAGTTTCTGATCATTTGAACCAGTTAATGTGTAATGTCTATCCCTAGCCCAACTGTTCCCATGACTGCATTAAGTCCAATAAACAAGCAGAAAGGAAAGGTATGACTTTCAAAGAACTTCCAGATGCTTTATTTGCCACAGCATTTGCAGGGGGCAGGTCAGACTGGGTTGCTTTTTATTTCTTCTCCACCTGAAAAAGTCTGTGCACTCCCCTTCCCTCATTCCCTGTTTATAGGACTCTGCTCTAGAATCAAAATGGCTACATTTGGGTTTTCATTCGTCATTTTCACTATTCAGGCAGTAGAGGAGGCTGATAAACATGGATGTGTGCACTGGGGACAGATTTCATTTCCCAATTTTTTCAGGGATCTCTTTCCAACCTCCGTCCCTGATCTATAGTATGGCTTCCGCTATATTATGCAAATATTGTGTCCCTTTTCCTGCAAAAGTATTTTTAAAATAGACTCTTCATATTTAGGTCTGCAAACAGGTTTCCCATGGGAAAACAGATGACGTTCACTTCTCAGTTTTATGATATGTACAGAATATATCCCATCGTCGTGAGCCACTGCAGAGCAGGGCTATGAACTGTTAGGAGAGCATACCAAGTAAAGCAATGAAAAGTAGGTTAGAATTAAAAAAAAAAAAAAAAAAGGATTTACTTCATTTCAGAGTAGTGGTTCACAATTTATTACAGTATATCATGTTTCTTTACTTGTACTGTAAATTATCCAGCTTGTAATACAAAGCCTTTATTTATCATAAGATAGATGCTATCAATTTGGCTTTTGCAAAAATAATGAAGTAGTAAGTGCTGTTTGCTATGCAATAAAGAGGTAGAAACTAGGGATAAAAACATGCCAAACTTTAAAAAGTATAAAGAATGGTGCTGGTATGTACCACCAATACTAATGCCTGGGAAACACTCATATGCAAGATGGATCTCACTGTGCCTTTTTATTCTTCAAGCTTCTAGACATTCATCTTTATATTCAAGATATCTAGTAAAAATTTGAAAATTATCATCTAGGTGTAGATGTAACTTTAAACTATCAAAGGTAAAAGATGCATGAAAAGAAGCTGTTCCATACATTTCTTATTTCATTTTCTTTGAAAGTAAACTTGATGGCATGTATCCTATTTTTCTTCATGGAACCTGGGTGTAGAAAATGTGTTCAGACTGTTATTCCTGCAGGTGTTCCACTGGTAGCTAAGTATATGGTAGTGGCTCTGGACATGACTTGTGTCCAGTGGTTTTTCTTTTGGCTCATATACAAGCAGTTCAGGATGTTATCCGCTATAATACTGTTTTTTTTAAGAGTAGGCGGTGAATATCAGTTTACTCACAAAAAGTAAAAAGTCTCAAGTTACCACATTGTAGCTTGATTGGATGCTATGATGATTAATACTACAGGAAAAATATAGATAGGCAGTTTGCCAGAGCCTGTGGATCTTTTATGTACTTGCTTTCCAAAACCTATTTTACAAATTCCTGCAACACTTGCACAGTTGCCACTGTTTTCATCTGACTGCACTGTTATATGGAGAAATAACAGAGGAATATATTTGAATGAAACTCTAAACTCTCCTATTCTGAAACAATTGCTTCCTTTGGCTACCACTGCCAAGTATTTCTTCTTTCTGGGACAGAAACAAAGTAAAGACAAAGTCCAGAGAAGCTAAACAAAGCTGTTTCAGCTACACTTTCTATGAAATATTATGCAGCTGGCTATCCGTTTCAAAGAGGATCCATGATTATGTCTTAAATAAATAATTAGATAAAGAAATAGTTGTATGTACTGAGAAACAAAGGCTACACTGGTGATAAATATGGATAGATATCCTTCTAGAATGTCATGGTCCAAGTGGTTTATTATATCTATGCATCATCATAGCTGTAAAGAGGAGTGTATGTTTTTTCCATTTTAAAAAACCTTATAACATTAATCTTAAATGTAAGCTTTTTGTTGGCACTTAAAGTCCTGATGGGACATGGGAATTGCACTCTTAAATTACTTCTGTGTCTCCCATCAGAACTTTCTTGTTTAGCTATGGCCTGTTTGCATCACTGAATCTTTTATTATTTATTTTTATTTTTTTAGTGTTCTGGACTGCTATCAAAATGCCATCTTTGCAATCTCCATTGTGTTGGTTTTCAAATATCAATGAATGCTGAATAGAAATATACAGGAGCAAATGTTGAGATTTAAGTGACTCTTTCTAATAATTTCTTTTTAATTACAGAGCAAAGAGATTGCATTCCAGCTTCATGAGGATTTAATGAAAGTTCTTAATGAGCTTTACACGGTAAGCACATTTATTTAGCTTCTGTTGCAAGACTTTCTGTTTTATGTACTTTATAACATAACAATCCACCACACAAAACTAACACAGCGTTTTTGTGAACACAAAGTTAAATCATTCTTTTTTCCACATAATATGCTTACCTGAGCTGTATGCATGTCATGAGTTGCAGTCAGATAAGGTTAGTGCAGTGGACAGCTTAATTATGAGTGGAAATTTTCTGCTTTATCCTCAGTACATTTTCAAATCATTCATCACTTTTGTAGGCATTTACCTTTCAAACAGTTTCAGACCTTTTACACACTCATAGTTTCATAGTTGGTAGGGTCAGAAGGGACCTAATCAGATCATCAAGTTCAACCCCCTGCCATGGGGACAGGAAAGAATGCTGGGTTCAAATGACCCCAGCTAGGTGATTATCCAGCCTCCTTTTGAAGACCCCCAGGGTAGGAGGGAGCACCACTTCCCTTGGAAGTTGGTTCCAGATCCTAACCACCCTGACTGTGAAGTAGTGCCTCCTAATATCTAGCCTGAATCTACTCTCCATCAGCTTATGGCCGTTATTCCTTGTTACTCCCGGTAGGGCTCAGGGGAACAGGGACTCCCATTGCCTGCTGGTCCCCCTTGGCAAGTTTATAGACAGCCACCAGATCCCCTCTCAGCCTTCTCTTGTGGAGGCTGAACAGGTTCGTGTCCCGTAGCCTCTGCTCATAGGGCCTGCCCTGCTGCCCCCGATCATGCGAGTGGCCCTCCTCTGAACCCTCTCAATGCTGTCCACATCCCTCCTGAAGTGCAGCGCCTAGAACTGGACGCAGTACTCCAACTGTGGCCTGACCAATGTTGCATAGAGGGGGAGGATCACCTCCTTGGACCTGGTCGTGATGGATCTGTGGATGCATGACAAGGTGCGGTTAGTCTTCCTGACTGTGTCCCCACATTGGTGCCCCATGTTCATCTTGGAATCAATAGTGACTCCAAGATCCTTTTCTGCCTCTGTGCTGTTAAGAAGGGAGTTCCCCAGCCTGTAGGTATGCTGCTGGTTCTTCCTACCCAAGTGCAGCACCTCGTACTTGTCCATATTGAAACTCATCCTGTTCTCATCCGCCCACCCCTGTAACCTGTCCAGATCTAGTTGTAGCCTGTCTCTCTCCTCCAGCATGCTCACTTCTCCCCACATCTTAGTGTCCTCTGCATATTTGAACAAGGTGCTTTTCACCCCCTCATCCAAGTTGCTGGTGAAGATGTTGAACAGTGCAGGCCCAAGAACCGAGCCCACATCCTTCCAGGTCGAAAATGACCCATCCACCTCCACTCTCTGGGTGCAGCCCCCAGCCAATTTGCAACCCATCTGACTCTGTAAGCATCAACGCCACAGTCGCCTAATTTCTTAATGAGAATGGGGTGAGAGACAGTGTTGAAGGCCTTCCAAAAGTCCAGAAAGACTATGTCCACTGTGACATCTGCATCCAAGGATTTTGTGACCTGATCATAGAAGGCCACCAGGTTGGTCTGACAGGACCTGCCTCTAATGAACCCGTGTTGGTTGCCCCTAAGCATAATCTCCCCTGCTGGCCCCTCATGGACATGCGCCAGGATAATTCTCTCAAAAAGCTTACCCAGGATTGAGGTAAGACTAACTGGCCTATAGTTTCCTGGGTCCTCGTTCCTCTCTTTTTTGAAAATGGGGACCATACTGGCCCTTTTCCAGTCCTCTGGCACCTCACCAAAGTACCACGAGTGCTCATAAAGCCATACCAGGGGTCCTGCAATGACCTCTGCTAATTCCTTCAGCACTGTGGGGTAGAGATCATCAGGACCTGCAGATTTGAACATGTCTAGTCCCACCAAAAGTTCCCTGACTAGGTCCTAGCTGACCCTGGGCCTGGCAGCACCTTCCCTGAGCTCGTTGGGGATCCCAGTGGGGGGGATGCCACAGTCCCTGCTCAAAAAAATGGAGCCAAAGAAATTGTTAAAGAGTTTAGCTTTGTCGTGTGGTGTAACCACCAGATTTCCTAGTGTGTCCTGCAGAGGCTGTACGTTACCCAGTACCTTCTTTTTACCTCTCTACAAACTTAGCTAAGCATTTTTTTTTCAACTGGATATCCTAAACTTGACTCCCATGGCTGTATAGAGCCACATGAGTCTCAGGCTGGGAAGGACCAAACTACACAACTGGGCCCTAAGTGCCTACTGCCATGAATTGGCTTATTGCTACTTAGGGTAAGAGCAGACTCCAGACTGGTGTCATAAGCATCTAAATAGTGTCAAAATGGAATTTCAGTACCTGAGTTTTAAACAGTGCCAGATTAGCCAAGTTTCATCAGCCCAAAAACTCAGTAGATGCTTAAATCTTTTGAGTCCTATATTTTGAACTCCAGAAATCCAGATAGATAGATAGACAGATAGATAGATAGATGTCAGCTTCTAAACACACCCAGACTTAGAGTCTTAGCACCTACCTAGGGCTTGTGGCAAGCCAGAATGTGTCTTAAATCCCTAGAATGCCCTGATCCAATAGACATTCTCAGAGTGCGCCTAACTCACACTGACAGCAGTACAGAGTGAAGCTGGCATGGTCATTTTCATTCCAAAATGTAGGAGATGAGGGAAGATGAGATGGTGTCCGCCTTTTGCATAATGTCTTAGTGTTAGAGCACTTGCCTATGAAGTAGGAAACACTGATGAGGGCATTCTGCTGGGAAGAGTGAGACCTGGGTCCTGGTCCCTTCTTCCAGGTTTATTTCTGCTTTTTAATCAACAACCATCTAATGTCAAATGCACGAACATTCCAGGAAGCAGAAACCAGAAACCTCTCCCAGCTGAGAAACCTCATTGTTGCTCTACAAAGTCAGGCTTCCTGGTGCTTGTTCTCCTCTTTCCATGACTCTTGTGCGCTTGGTTGCACACTGACCCATCTTCAGTAAGATGCATGGTAGACACCCTCTTCTCTAGCACTGTGGTTAGGACACTTTCTTGACAACAGGGAGATGTGGGTTTAAGTCCCCTCAAGATTCAACCACTAGACTTTTGAACAAAATACCACTGCTGCTGCCACCCACACCCACTGGTCCCACTGGAGGCATTTAATGAGTCAGGTGTCTGTGCTCTGGAGAAGTGTAACAGTTCAGATACATCCCTGTGCTTAACATTTCCTACTGGCTAGCTTTAGATACTTCTGCATGGTTAGAATTACCCTTCAGAGGATGCTTCATTTTCTGTGTACCTCAGATGCCTATTTCTGAATCATCCTTTGGAGGCTCCATTGATCATATAGGCTCCATTAGGTGCACCTAACCCTATCTAATGGAATTCATAGAATCATAAAAAATTAGGATTGGAAGGAACCTCAGGAGGTCATCTAGTCCACCCCCCTGCTCAAAGCACAACCATCCCCAAGTAGCTCATCCTACCCAAGGCTTTGTCTAGCCAGCTCTTAAAAACATCCAATGATAAATATACTCTGGGTAACCTGTTCTAGTGCTTTACAATGCTCCTACTGAGAAAGTTCTTCCTAATATCTAACCTACACTTCCCTTCCTGTAACTTGTTCCCATTGTTCCTTGTTCTATTGGCTCCCACCACTAAGAGCAGTCAAGCTCCATTCTCTTTGGAACCCCCTTCAGGTAGTTGAAGGCTGCTATTAAAACCCCCCTCAATCTTCTCTTCTGCAGACTACATAAGCCCAGTTCTATCAGCCTCTCCTCATAAGTCATGTTCCCCAGCCACCTAACCATTTTCATTGCCCTCTATGGACTCTCTCCAATTTGTCCACATTCTTTCTGTAGTGGGGGGCCCAGAACTGGACACACTACTCCAGGTGTCGCCTCCTGAGTGCCAAATAGAGGGGAAGAACCACTTCCCTTGATCTGCTGGTAATGCTGCTACTAGTGCATCCCAGTATGGCATTAGACTTCTTAGCAAAAAGCGCACACTGTTGTCTCATACTCAGCTTATTGTCCACTGTAACCTCCAGGTCCTTTTCTCAGAGTTGCTGCTTAGCCAGTTGGTCCCCAGCCTGTACCAGTGCATGGGATTGTTCTGTCCTAAGTGCAGGACTTTATACTTCTCCTTATTTGTCAAGGTCTCTCTGAATCCTAGTCCTACTCCCCCTGGTTGGTGTCATCCACGAATTTGTTGAGGGTGCACTCCATCCAAGTCACTGATAAAGATACTGAACAAAGCAAGTCCTGGGCATTCCACTTGATACTGCCTTCCAATTAGACATCAAGGCATTGACTGCTACCCTCCAAGCCCGATGATCCAGCCAGTTTTCTATCCACCTTACAGTTCATTCATCCAACCTGTACTTCCTTAGTTTGCTTGTGAGTATATTGTAGGAGACCATATCAAAAGCCTTGCTAAATTCAAGGTATATCATAACCACTGCTCTTTCCGCATCCACAGAGCCAGTCATCTCATCATAGAAGGCAATCAGGTTGCTCAGGCATGACTTGCCCCTAGTTAATCCATGCTGATCACCTTCTCTTCCAAGCGCTTTGAAATGGATTCCTTGAGGACGTACTCCATGATTTTTCCAGGGACTGAGTAGAGGCTGACCAGTCCATAGTTCCCTGGATCATACTTTTTCACCTTCTTAAAGATGGGCATTATATTTTCCCTTTTCCAGTCATCCAGGACCTCTCCCAATCACCAAAACTTTTCAAAGATGATGGCCAGTGGCTCTGCAATCACATCGATCAACTCCCTCAGCACCTTTGAGTGCATCTCATCCAGTCCCATGGAATTAGTCATTTGAGGCCAAGCATTTCATTTTTAGGTACTGTAGTTCCTAAGTGCAAGTGCTAAATTGGCCAGTCTGGGAGTGGCTCTGAAGACATAATCTTGCACGTGTTGAAGTTGATAGCAAAACTCACATTGACTTGAGCGGCACAAAATCAGAAGCATTTGCCTAATGGCTTTACTGAACCAGGAGAATATTGCAGGATGGGGCATAAGTATTTTATTTTCGAGTTTTCTCTGATTATATTTTTTCCGTTGTCATG